AATAAATTGTAGATAGGAGTCCTATCCACAAATTCTATCATAGGACATTTGTACATTTAATTTTAGTTTGTTTATTTTTATCCCTCTGTCTGGGCCCCATCCAGCCAAGCAGGCCCTAGGCACATGCCTACTTTGCCTTTGCGTTAATCCGGTTCCGATTAAGATGCATTTTTGCCCAATGTATTTACTAACAATGCAAAAAATAATCTGAGTAAGCAATTAGGCAAACAGCAGGTATTAAAGGCATTAAATGTAAGAAAATAGAACATAAGATCAGTCTTTATGCAGATGATGTTTTACTCTTTCTCCGAAATTCTCAATCCTCTCTCTCCCAAGCAATAGAACTGTTAAACTCTTTTTCAAGAGTTTCAGATTACTCTATAAACTGGTTTAAATCCACAGTTCTACCAATTAATTTCTCTTTTTTCAATTTGCTTCATACACAATTGGAGTCAGGGAATATCACATACCTGGGAATTAATGTCTCTCCCAAGTTGGCAGATCTAACCAAAATAAACTACATCTCACTTTTAAAGAAAGTGGAAGATGATCTTGCAAGATCACTCACGGGGACCCTCCCCATGAGTGATTTTGGGTTGCTACAATTAATATGATGGTCTTACCCAGAATAAATTACTTATTTCCAATGATCCCAAACAAGCCACCAGCTGACTGGTTTAGATCTCTGGACTCCTCAATTACTAAATTCCTTTGGCAGGATAAACCTCCACGAATTAGCTTAAAAATGCTTCAGAAGACCAAAGACAGAGGAGGACTGGATTTACCCAACTTTTATTATTATTTCTTAGCCAACAGGCTGCAATATATACCAAGATGGTTGCAAGATAACCCACTAGACGAGTCCTGGTTAGATATAGAACAGACACTTTGCAATACGATAGAGCTTTCAGACACCATTTATTAGCTCAAGCATAAGAAAACATGAAGGCTTCAAAAGTATTAGTACCAGCACCTCTCTGACAGCATGGTGGGAGTATCTTAAAATGACAGTCTTCCCTAGTACCATGCAGACGCACACCTATCTGGAATAATCCTGATATTTTGCAAAATAACAAAATGATGAATCTTCCGGACTGGAAAAGTAAAGGAATCCTATTCCTGGAACACATTTATTCTTATGTGTCTATGCCTATGTATGTATGTCTTATCTCATTGTATGTACTGAAACTCTAATTTCTCTCTGGGATTAATAAAGTATCTTTGAATTGAATATAATTGAACTGAATGAAGGATTGGACTTCAACCCATTTAATAGAATAGTCTCCCAATTTGGAATAGACAAGAATAGCTTTTTAGAATATCACCAAATTAAATCTGTAGTGAAACAACAATTTAAGCTCAATAAAATAGAATTACAAACACCACCAAGGGTATTAGACTTCCATAATCTCAAACCCCCCAAACTACTGTCTAAAATTTATAAGACACTGTCTAAAATAGATTATATAACAGCAATCCCTATTGAAAAATGGGAGGTGGATCTATCAGTATGCTTTGACCAGGTGGGTTCACCGGGGTGGTCTGGGACTGGGGGGCTGCTGCCCCCCTCTGGAGGTGCTTGGGTTGACTCGGGGGGTGGACTACTGGCGGTTGTGAGTGAGGCCCCTTGGGGTCTTGGCGGTGGCCATGGATCGCTGCCTGGCAGCTGCATTACCCCTGAGCGTCTTGTTGGGGGCCTGGGGGCTCGGGGTGTAGGGGTGGCCGGCCCCGTGTGGGGATCTGGACGGGTCCTTGAGAGTCGGGTCCTGACATGTATGCTGCCGAGAAGAAGGCAGGAACATGCGGCAGTGCCTGGCCTGGGCTCAGGGGCCTCAGGTAGACCTTGGCCCCTCTGCTGTCCCTTTACAGGGGAGGGGGATGGCCAGGAGAGGGAGGACTCAACCTTACCTGGATGTCCTATGTCTTATATATTCTGGAAGTCATGCAAATGCAGGGATGGGAGTAGATATTCTGCTGGGGTGGGGGTAGTTTGGTGCCCTCGGACTCTGTGAGGCTCTGTGATGCTGCTGCTTGGGGACCTGGAGAGATGGGCTGGGATCTCCATACCCTGGGTGGCATTTTGGCAACAGAGGTGCCTATTGGGACCAGTGGGGGAGCTTGATCCCTGGAGGGCCTAAGCCCAACCAGCCATTCCTCCCCATCCCCACACATTTTTCTCCTCCTACTCCCTCGCATCATCAAACAATCATGCACATAGGACCTTGGGGGGTGGACAAGTCAGGGGGTGCGGGCATGGACCCCATTTCCACATTTCTGTGGCAACCTGCCCCCCAATTTCATTTGCACCTTAAACACTTCCACCAACAACATTCCACGCAAACACACACTTAGGGTCTTGGGAGTGAGCACATTCAATGGCATTTGGCAGGGGGATTTTTCAGCCTCGTCCCGAGTGCCAGTGCCCACTTTCAACTTTAAACTGCACTTAGACACTAAGGGCTGTGGGTGCAAGTGTGGTGGTGTGGTGGCATCAGCTGGCATAGGCCAGCCGATGCTCGCACTGCCCGCTCACCACAGCCATGGAATACACCTCATCAACACGCTCTAACACTATAATGGAGCAGGCGGAGGGAGACTAGGGGTCTTAGCACACCTCTGTTGTCGCTTGGCTTCCCGGGGCTGGAGGCTAGGAGGGAGCTGCGGCCATCTGGTTGGGGTCTGGGGTGGTGGGTTGCTTTGCTCAGCGTTGGGCGGGGGAGCTTGCTCATCAGCACCCCAGCAGAAAGGGTCAAACTCTGGGAACCGGTAATGGTTGTACCCCATGTGCAGCCGTACCGGGACCAGAGTGAATAGGGTGTGTATGGGGAGCATGAGTGGGTGTCCAGCGTGCATTTTTGTAAGTCTTAGGTTGTATGTGTATGTGTGAGCATGAGGGAGGGAGTGTGTAACTGTGTCTGTTTATGATTGTATATGTCAGGTGGGGCCTTTGAGTCCTTCCTTCTCCTGGGACTTCTTTTGATGCTATATACATCTTTGTCCCCCCTCCCCCTGCCACACCTGGTGTGGAGTGTGGTGCCTTGGTCTGCCTGAGTGTCCGTGGCTCCCGGGTCAGTGATTTTTGGCATCTGCCTGATCAATCCCGGTGGCTGCCTGGGGGGATCTGGATCCCTGGGCTCTGCTGGGTCCCGGGCTCGGCCGGCTGGGGGGTGGGAGGCTGCGGACGGGCCTGTGGGCTTGCCGCTGATATCTCCCGAGACTCTAAGATACATTTTAGATATTTATATTTAACTTAGGGTTAGGGTTAACTAAATATTTGAATATTTAGATAACATTAGTATTTGAAGCCAAATATGTTTGTTTGTTTGTTTGTTTGTTTGATTGTTTGTTTGTTTTAGATGTTCTTTAACAATCAGCGCCCCATAATGGGGAGCTGTTTTACATGAAAGGTTACACACTTGTCAGGACTGTTCTTTTAAAGCTCCTTATTGAGACTGGAATAGTGTGAGTCATCAGCCTGTTCACCGTGCTCACACACACTGGTGTGAACATGGTTGAGTCTGACCAACTGAAACGAAGGCTTACATTTTCCCTGTGATCACTTTAGTTTGCAGACATGTTTGTTTACATTGTTTTCTATTTATAGAAAGAGTCGTCCTGAATCAAACAAAAGACGATCAGTTTCTTTCAGATCTGAAAACACAAGAGAAACAACAGATGTTCAGACCAATGGGGAAAGCAGCAGCAAAATGAGGTTATGAATGAAAACACTCTCTCTCTCTCTCTCTCTCTCTCTCTCTCTCTCTCTCTCTCTCTCTCTCTCTCTCTCTCTCTCTCTCTCTCTCTCTCTCTCTCTCTCTCTCTCTCTCTCTCTCTCTCTCTCTCTCTCTCTCTCTCTCTCTCTCTCTCGATTTGTCTCTCTTTCTCTGTCTTGCTCGCTTTCTCTTGCTCATTCTCTCTCTGTCTTTCTTTCTCTCTCATTCTTGCTTTCTCTTTCTTTCTCTCTCACTCGCTGTCTCTCTCTCTGCGGTTCTGCTGTCACCGCGCCTGTCTCTGGCTTTGGTGGGGTCTGTGTGTGAGTCACTGGTGGATTTTAACCCTGTCTGTCCCTCTCTGCTGCAGCAAACAGGAGCCAATGTCAGCAGCACTTCAGAGGTAAACATAAAAAACAGGTACACTATAATTTACATCATTTTAGTTTTCTCTTGTTCACGGTGGGTAAACTTGGAACTGTAATAAAGAGTTTGCAGATTTTATTTACAACAGGTTTAGTTCAGCCACAGTTTCAGCTAGTGTCCTAACACCCCCACTAGATTTAATCTGGACTTTGGGCTACTCCAAACTTCTGATGGGGTTCAGATAATCATCCTGCTGCGAAACCAAAGTGTGATTGACAATCTCCTTCTGGACGTTCTGCTAGAGCAGCATTCGTGGTTCCATCAGTTACAGCAGGTGGTCCAGGTCCTGAAGCAGCAGAGCTGCCCCAGACCATCACACTACCACCACCATGTCTGACTGTTGCTATGGTGATGTTTTAGAGTTGGTTAAGGTCTGGATGTGGCTGGTAAAGCTCAGCTTTACAAACGATTTATGTGAATAAATCAAAATTAATTCATGATTTAACAACGCCTGCCTTTTATTAGGGACCAGGTTGGTTTGGATGAATTTAGTCACTAAAAAAATTAAATCAGCAAAGCTACTTTTGCATGCTCGGGTTCTGTTTGTCTGACAATTTTTGTGTTTTCTAGATCCATTTAACACCACACACACACACACACACACACACACACACACACACACACACACACACACACACGCACGCACGCACGCACGCACACGCACACACTTCACAGTGAGGTGCGCTTCTAAATTTAGCTCTGCTGTCATTCATTTCATCCTCGCTGCCAGAAACTCATCTCACATTCAGAGGAGGTTCAAAGACACAGACGAACACGCGCTTGTTTGGCTGACACAAATGAACTGCGCGTGCACGCGAAGCCCGGGTTGTATAAATGCGTGTCATAGCAAGCGCATTCGAAGACACTTAATACCGACCGGCGCGCCCCCCAACAGTATTGCGCATCTCCTGACGCACGAGTCACGTGAGTGGCGTAAGAAGCAAAAGGAGCTGTCCGCGGTGCTGACGCCAGACTCCGACTAGAAGCAGAGCGATGCTCAGCTCTCCCACGGCGCTTCCCACCAACCAACCCGTCTAAGGTAGGACTCGTGCTCGTTGCCAACACGCTCCAGTTCTTCCCACGTGATCACCTATTCTTCTAAAGTTACTAAAACTCGCTTTGGTCCCTGTAGCTCTTCTCCGACCTGACGGGAAAATGTTATGTTGTCTTACCCGCAATCCTTTTGTTCTCTTAGACCATCATCACCATCGCTCTCTCCTGTCTAATATTACAGGTGAAACTACTGCAGGTTCGTTCGTTAATCCAGAAAAAAGAAACTAAGAGAAAGTCTAAAACAAGGTCGTTATACTTGGGTGTTGTGCCGTAACAGCCTCAAAATACGAACTCAGCCAGAGGGGTTTCAGGATAAAAGGAGATGTTTCACGGAAACATCAGCCTCACAGGGTTTCCTTGACAACAGGGACGTGACTCTGAGCCAGCAGCAAGTTGATTAGACTAATAAGATTTGCACACCACACCAGCTGAATACAGCTGCTGTTGTGGCTGTTGGCACAAAGGCGGCATCAAGCCACAGCAACAGGCAGGAATAGACACATGCTTACAGAACAGCAGCTTACTCTTAATGGACTTTATTAATGACAGCTATTTATGTATGTGTGTGTGTGTGTGTGTGTGTGTGTGTGTGTGTGTGTGTGTGTGTGTGTGTGTGTGTGTGTGTGTGTGTGTGTGTGTGTGTGTGTGTGTGTGTGTGTGTGTGTGTTGGGATTCTTATATCAAACAATAAAATGTATTAAGTTACTTTAGTCGTCGGAAGAATACATGTTACACAAACTGTAAAGCACTTCATCAAAACGCGTTTTACTGTAAGGATTCTCTCTCTCTCTCTCTCTCTCTATCTATCTATATATATATATATATATGTGTGTGTGTGTGTGTGTGTGTGTGTGTGTGTGTGTGTGTGTGTGTGTGTGTGTACACATGAGATGTAGATTAAAAAAATTAAATCTCAATACATTACATTTTTTTCATTCTTTGTTATTCTCCTTTTTTTTCTAACCTTTCTTGCTCTGATTTATAAACAACAGCTAAAAGGAAAATACAGACATTTCTTTCCTTTAGACATTAGAGGATGACAAACATTTCTCGGGTCTATACAATGATCTCTTCAGTTATGGAAAGAGACATTTGTTTAATGTCAGAGCAGAGAAGCCGTTAGTTTAAAGGTCAGAGCTGACATGTTTCCGTTTGTCTTCCCTCTGCAGACGTCACCATGCCGTCAGTCCCTCAGACCTCCTCCACAGCCAAGCCGTCTCTGATCTGTTTAACTAACCTCCTCGTGATCCCTCTCTTCCTCACCTCTGCTAACGGCGCTTCGCTCAGAGATCACAGGCTGCGTGGGAGCGAACCAGATCCCCAGAGAGGAAATGTCCCTGAGGCAGCCGACGCAGACATGCTGAAAGCCTTGGAGGTCATTCAGCGTCTCCATCAAAGACCTCCTCTTGGTGCAGGGCTTGATTTCAGCCACGCAGACGAAGCTGAGAACATCCGTGCCATGCTGAGACTGGCCTCCAACCCTGTGCAGAGCAAAGATGAGGAGGACTCAGAGGAGGAAGAGGGAAGGGAGGATAAGAGTGAAGAGCTGCTGCAGGCGGTGCTCAGCACCCTCCAGCAGACGGAAAAGGCCTCCAGGCCAGCTCTGCTTCGCCCAGATGGCCCACATCCAAAGGTGCAGGTGAAGCAACAGGACATTGTACCCCACAGGAAGATGCCTTTAATATTTGAGGATGAGGAGGAAGATGGGGGTGAGGAAGAGGATGTAGAGCCCAGGCATCAAAGCTTTCTGAAACTTCCCAACGAGGACGTGGAGGAGAAGTACGCTCCCGAGAACCTGGCCACGCTGCAGTCGGTGTTTGATGAACTGAGCAAGCTGACAGACTCAAAAATCATTCACAAGCGCCAAAATGAGGAGGAGCATATGGAGGGTGAAGATAGGGAGGAAGATGAACGCATGTTTAACGAGAGGAATGCAGAATATGATGAGGGGAATGGAGATCTTGCAGACTGGGGTCCTCTAGAAGAACAGGAAGAGGAGGAAGAGGAGGACAACAAACACAACGGGGGTCAGGGGCTGGATTACATTGATGACAACAATGAAGAAGCTGATGAGGATGATGAAGAAGAAGATGACGATGAAGGGTATCCAGTTAAAAGGTCAAGCGATGCAGATGATGTAGCAAATCTGGTGGACTATTACCTTCTGAAGGTTCTGGAGAAAACAGAAGAAGAGGAGCAGAAACGAGAGATAGAGGAGGAAGAGGAGAGGGCAGAGAGAGAGGTGGCTCAGACTCCGTACCGATACACCATCGACCCACGACTCATCTATCAGATCATCACTATCTCCCAGAAGTACCACATCCCCCCCGAAGATCTGCTGAACTTACTCAGATTTGGAGGTCAAACCAGTCAAGATAAGCTGAGAGAAATCAGTGGACTGTCCAGAGCAGAGAGCAAGCTGATGTCCTCGAGGACGTTTCCCAACTCCAAGTTCTACAGCAGACGCCTGCCTTATGTGGGAAAGAGCCCAAAGGAGCGAAGAACGGAGGACATCCTCAAAATCCTGGGTCTGGAGGGTTCAGGAGCTCCATCAGCCAGCACGAGGCAGAGGCCGTACAAAAGCTCCCCGTCACGACTTCAGCCTGTCGGACGTTTGGGAGAGCCCACTCCCACGCAGCGTCGCCTTCCCAACAACTTCAGAGGAGACTCAGATGACTCATTGGATGAGGACCAACTGGCAGCTTATCTGGCAGCTCAGATGCTGGCGCGGCATCGCAAACCTGCTTTTAGCAACACCAGGCTGACCCATAAACGAGACGACGCAGGACCCAGCACCACAGGCTCTTTTGAAAAGGCACTAGAGGAGTATTTTGACTTGGTGGACACAAATAAAAGTCCAAATGACAAGAGACAGCTGGAGGACGAGGAGAGGGGCGGAGACACGCAAACGCAGGGCTCAGAGAAAGAGGCGGTGATGAGCGCGTTGAGCTACCTGAACCCAGAAACGGAAGGAAGTGACGCCAAACCCACCAAAGGAATCTAAATAAGACTGTAAACATCTATAAATATTTATATATAAAAACAAATATATATATTGTTTTAGCAGAAGGAGGAGCGTAAAAATAAAGTATTTGGAAAAAAAATACACAGAATCAGCTTTAGTTCATGTGTAGGTTTACAAAAACGTATTTATTAAAATAAATCTGGTGTTTTCATTTGATGTTTAGCTCAAAAGTTGTTCCTGACCAGATGAAGGTGTGTTTCACCAGCCTTAGACTTCTGCACACAATCCAGATCAGTGTTGAGTTCTTTGCACTTGTACATTTTTCCTACGCGTGGTCACATATCTGTTGTTAATAAAGCATTGACTTTATTTTTCCTTACTGTCTGAGTGTTTCTCCTTTCACTCGCCCAAACACTGAAGGACCAGTCTCTTTTAAAATCACTCTTCTAGTCTTAAAACCTGCAGAAGAACAAAATCAGGAGCAAAGCGGTGGCATGCAGACCACGTGGTCGTCAGTAGGCTGGTTTGCTCATGTACTCCTCCAGCGTCTGTGGACTCAAGAGGACACGAATCACCACACGAGTCACAGCAAATCCCACACTGGCCTCTGCTTTGGTAAAAACAATCACCTCCTGGAGCGTGTCGGCGTCCTCCATAGACGCCCCCACGGCAAATTTAGAGGTTTCTAAAATCTCTCCTCCCATCAGAAACTCATCCAGGATGAAGTAGGCCTTTTCAAAATTAAAAATGATGTCCAACTCGCACACCTGAGGCAGAAAACACAAATTACTAATCCAGATTTAAGCTGCCAGCTCAGTGAGCATTCGCGGCATGGCCACAAGCTCTAATCTGGGTAAAAGATGAAAGCCAATTATTTCATTTGTGCTCTGAAGAGGTCCAGCATTGTTCTTCACACCAAAAGATGTGTAAATGATCCGATCAAGTCTTGAAATGACCCGATTCGCTGGTTTGGACTCACGTTACCAAAGTATCTGTCCAACAGCTCCACGTATCTGTGCAGCACCTCTAGGGCGAGCAACTCGTTATCCTGGCTGTCCAGACCGGCGCAGAAGTACAGGCTGGCATACCTGCAGTCAAAAACAGGAAGATCACATCAGCGGTTGGCACGGCGACAGCTCTGAGCGGGTGAAGTTCCTGTGTAGAGGAAGTCCCATCCTTGAACTGTCTGGACGAGACGAAGCTTCTGAAGTAGAAATTCTTTTGTGCGTTGGTTCTGTGCTTGCGAGCAGCAGATGAACAGAGAGGATAACTACAGTGTTAGCTGAAACGTGTCCGCTAAAAAAGGTAAAAACAAACCAAAACTCAACCAAACAGTGGAGCAGAAAAGTAGAAGCTGGAAAAATGTGTGCCACTAATTCAGCCTAAAATGTGAAACTAATCTATGAGACAGACTCGTTACATGCATATCCAGATGCTTCAGCCTTTATTTGTCGTAACTGTGATGATTAACAGCCGATGAAAACCCACATTCAAAATCTCAGACTATTAGAACAGTGTAAAAAGATTCAATGTTCTAGATTTAAAGTGTCACACTCTAATCAGCGGATGAATCCAGAACACTTGCAGAGGGTTCCTGAGCCTTTAGATGGTCTCTCAGTCTGAGCTGGATGAATGGATTTTTGCTCCATATTCTAATTTTACCAGTTTCACCTGTACTTCTGTGGCTCTCTGCCCATTTAAGCCCTTTTTGTCATGTTCTGTGTCCCTCTGTCCCCAGCCTCCTCCTGTTCTCCTCCAGGTTCTCCTGCTTAGTTCTTTCCCCATTTCATTTACTGAATGCGCCTGCCTTCCCTCCAGATCACTCACACCTGTCACCTGTTCCTCTGATCACCTCGCTCTGTGTTTAAAAGTCCTGTCTTGTCCCTCAGTGTTTGTCGGTCCATCGTTGTGAGTCAGCATTGTTTTGTTCCCTCGTCAGGTTCTAGTCTTCCTGCTCATTATTGAGCTTTTGTTTTGTTTTTGTTTTTTTGCTTCCTGATTTTCAGTTTTCTGGATTTGACTCCTGCATCTAAGTTATGTTTGTTGCGACCTTAAAAGGATTTGGCCTTTTTTCAACTGCTCTAGCCTCGAGTCATTCTGGGCTTCTGCGTGACGCTTTTTTAATTTTTATGTTGTCCCCATGAAGCTGCTAAAAACACACGATACCAAAACCGTAGCTGGAAAACCTGAAGTGATTTGGGTTATGAGTCCAAAAAAGTCATTTAAATTAGTTTAATAAATGATTGTTTAAACGTTTCAAATACAACCAATGAGAACAATGCTAACATCAAAACCGATGCTGAACTATCCATCAATAATGAGTCAAAATTGTTTCCTGCAGACAAAAGACTGAATGTAGATTTTTCATTCAACCCTTTGAACAGCTGGTTGACATCAAACCCAAAATAAGCTCCACCTCAATCAGTTTTACAGATGCTGAGCTAAGATGTGATGTGTTATGGCCGAATGTCATCCCCAACAACTCCAGCTAGGTCCCTCTCGCAAACATCCGCTCTAGCTGAGTCAAGCCTCGCTAGCTCTGTCTGTTATGTAACCAACTTTCAGATGCTTGAGTAGGAGGACAAATACAGTAGATGAATGTGTGGAAGCTGAGCAGGTGTGTATCGGACATCCTCGGTGATGATCCAAACACTGATCCGGGTCACCAGGCAACAGCAGGGAGGATCCACAAGCTTGAACCGAATGCTGCTCACTTACCTCCTGTAAACAATCTTCAGGTCCTGCCAGTGCAGAAAGTTGCAGGTGCGTGTGGGCCGAGGCAACACTAACATCATCATGTCCCGCACCACCTTCTTCTTCTCTCGCTCCGGTAGCGGCGTGAACCATTTCTGCAGGCGCAGCTTCCCCTGCCGACTGAACAGCAACAGGAAGTGCAGCTGGAGAAGGGAGGGGAACGAGTAATATCTCAGTCACTTCTCAAGGGTCGTGGAATATATTTAGTGTCTTTTATCAAAGTAAAATGAATCAAACAAAAAAACTGGAGATTTTGTGTTAAACCTGCTGAATTAGCGGAACTAGGATGCTGATAAAGCTAATAAATAAAGCTGTAAGTGAAGTGCAGGCCAAATCTGTGCTGTAACACTTGCAGGGGAAGAGCTACAATAAACCACAACTTGCGCAAGTTGAAATGTGGGAGAAGATCAGTGAGAAAACACATCACCGTTGGTGCAATAAACAGTAAACTACGGGTGTGCCTTGTGCAAGGGTAATTAGTGTAAGCTCTTTGCCCCAGGGTGTAGCTGCAAGCAGAACCCTGTCTGTCTGCAACGAGACACGAGAGCTGCAGCTAAATCACAGAACTCATTTCAACGTGAAGTTCATCGTGGTCAGTGAATCATCCACGGAGCAGATCTACATTCTTCACTCTTAGTTTTTTCATTCAAACAATTAACTTTTTGGCATCAAATCCAGTCGTTTGCATTTACTGATTCAAGGTAAGATAGCCCCCAAGTCCAATAAAGGTTTAACTCCTCTCAGCATCTTGTTTCGTTTTTGACGGACCAACCCAGTAAATATGTGACAGAAGGAAACATACTCACCATTTCTAAATCAGTGCAACGTCAAAGCAAAAAGAAAGCATGCAGGGTTGAACTACACCTTCCTCTTTCCTGCTACACCTTGAGCTGGGACATGGGCGACCCTATGAATCAATGCTAATGCCTTGTCCAGTCAGAGCCCCGCCCACCAGCAGCTGATTGGCTGCTGTGGGAGCAGGACAAAGGTGCACTCAGGATGTGAACAAAAGTAGATATAGAAGGGAACAGGGAACTGACGTGAGGGGATTGTGTCTTTGGGCCCGAGCAGCGAAAGTGCTGCGAAGGCCTCTTGTTTTTCCTCTGTTTATTATTTATTATTCCGGTTCCCCTTTGAATGGCTTTTTGGGGTCCTTTTCATATCCCAAAACTCACAATATTTTGCAAACGTGTCAGGCCTGGTGACAAATTTTATATTTTAAAGGTCCCAAAAACATTGCAAAGAAAATGGCTGAACAGCGCCCCCTACAATGTGAAAAATACGCCCCTCCATAAACCTTAAATTGTCATACAGTTATGAAATTTTGTACACTTGTAGTACTCAACAGTCCGCACAAAAAAGCTTCCTGCAACCATGGTCAATATCAAACAGGAAGTTGGCCATTTTGGTTTGAAGTGGTGATTTTAACCCCGTTTTATCTGTTTCTAGGGTCCCCTTCTGATTGATTTACTTGATCATTTTTCGCACGATCGTCTAGAAATTTTTGGGAAATTGCTCAGAAGGGATGAGCGATGACATAGAAAAAATAAAACTGACTGTCATAAATGCTGAGGGGGCGTGGCCAGGCCTCAAAAATATAAATGGCTATAACTTCATACCCGAATAGAGTAGTGCTACAAAAATTTCTGTGGTCATTCGTCATTCACCCACAAACTAAACTAAATGGTCGGATGATGACATCACGCAAGCCCCACCACCTCAGAACCAAAAAGGTCAAGTTTTACTGTGATAGGTCCCAAATCGCCCCATTTCACTTAATCACCACAAATTTGTAGCTGTAACTCAAGACAAGTGGGGGTTGCTTTGCGTCACTTTATGGGAGTTTTCAACAGAGGGTGGGGCTTTGGCGGCGCGGCGAAGTCTGGTGTACCGCCATGGCCGTATATTTGCCTCCCATTTCGTCATTTTTAAAGATATCGCCACGAAACTTCTGGTGAGCAGTCCTAGTCCGGCCCCTGAAACAATTTGATGTGAAAATCTGGTGGGCGTGGCCTATTTTTTAAGCGCCCCCAAGGACCATTAAAACTGTCAGCCCCACGCAATGCTTTGTCTGACGGTTACGAAATTTGGTACACTAATGTGGTGTCTCAGGACCTACAAACATGTTTCTTGAAGCCAAACCCAAAGTCACACAGGAGGTCGGCCATTTTGGTCCAAGTACTCGATTTAGAGATTTTCGCACACATCGTTTGGAGAATGATGCCCCGTCGCCCTTTTCACCGATATATACTCTTAAGACATAGGGGGGAAAATTCAACTGTCAGATTTTTCAAAAGTTGAAAGGTGTGGGCGTGGCTAAGCCTCAAACTTTGACCTTTCATCATTACATTACTTGACATAATAACTCCCATGCACATGATCAGTTCTATATCAAACTTTGTCTGTGTGATCACTGACCACATCTCAAGACAATGACAATGTGGACAGCTGGCATCACCTAAGCCCCGCCCCTGACAACAGGAAGTCTATTGTTTTATGGTGAAATGCCCATATTTGTCCCCTCTAATTTAGTCAACATGACACTAAGGTCATGCACTGTCTTCATGATGCTGTAATGACCATTCAGTTGTTATAGCTTTCCAGAAAGGGAGGGGCTGATGCTATGGCGAATTCTGGCATGACGCCATGACCTTACATTTGACTGTAACTTCCACAAACAGCCTCGGATCTGCACGAGACTGAACATGGCAATCAACAATCATGCCCTTCAGACAATGAGACACAAACGGTTGGTGAACGTTGTGTAATATCACCACAGCGCCCCCTACATACTGTTAAAACTGTAATAACTCCTACAGACGAGGTCGCAACTGCACCAAACTTGCTAAGTGTCATCACACAAAGGCACCCAACAGAATCCTGTGGTCATTGGTTGATATCACTTTAGCTCCACCCCTGACAGATATTAGGCCCTGAATAACGCATGCATAATGCAATTTACACCAAACTACACGCAAATTATTATTGTCAACCTACAAACTGCTCCATGGGATATTTTCCTAAATTTGGGACAGCGCCCCCTAGATTCAATAAAACCTTTGTAACTTCTAAAAAAAAGCTCCAAATTATATCAGACATGGTGAGAGTCATCACGCAACTGCAATCAACACATGTATGTGCTCACTCGTTCAAATCACTTTAACTCCGCCACTTACAGCCTTTTGGCTCTACCCATGCAATGTTTGATTGATGCCAAATTAACAGAAACCCATTTTTGATGAGCAAAGATGACCTCTATGGGATTTAGTTGTAAATGGTCACAGCGCCACCTACATAGGTTCAAGCTTCATTAACATCTAAAGACAAGGTCAGAATGGCAATATACTTGGCTTGTGTCATCACGTGACTGCACCAAACACATTTCAATTCAATTCAAGTTTATTTATATAGCGCCAAATCACGACAATTTATGTGGTTGTTGGTTCAAATCCCTTTAGCTCCGTCCCTTTTCAGCTCTCTGACTTTAAAAAAGCACACGCAACGTCTGATTGATGCCAAACTACCACAAAACCATCTTTGACTCCTTAAGGGGACCTGAATGGGAATTTTATGTAATTGGTCACAGCGCCCCCTAGATAGATTAAAAGTTAATTATTTCCTAAGACAAGGTCAGAATGGCATTAAACTTGGCTTGTGCCATCACATGACTGCACCAAACACATTGATGTGTTTGTTGGTTCAAACCCCTTTAGCTCGACCCCTTTTCGGCTCTCTGGCTTTAGAAAGCACACGCAACATCTGATTGATGCCAAATTACCACAAAACCATCTTTATCTATTAAAGCTGACCTCAATGGGATTTTTCTGTAGTTCGTCACAGCGCTCCCTAGATAACTTTAACCTTCAAACCAATGGCGGTTTTAAACGGGGGCCCACAGGGGCCTGGGCCCCTGTAGAACCGGCCCTGGCCCCTGTTATGGCCCCTGTGCTGAAGAGATCGGATTCTCTCCACCCCCCCCCCCCCCCCCCCCCCCCACCACCACCACCACCACCACCCCCGCGCGCGCGCTGCCTCGGAAAGGGAAATAATGCGCTGCAGCGTTTCACACGGAGCCTTTAAAGCGCAGCACGCTCTGTGGACAGAACTTTACGCGGTGGATTTTTGAATGAAGGATTAAAAATTGTTTAAATAGGACCCGAAGAAGTTCTTGAGGACTCTAAACGAAAAAGACGCTAAGAGACGAAGGTAAGCAGTACAGTTTATTTTCCTGACATCAGTGTTTTGATCGTAGTTGCGCGTTTCTGTCATTTACTTTTAAGTTCCTAACTGAGTCTATCCACAGTTAATACTGATTTGTTTTTCCTTTGTAACATTAACTGTAAAATAAAAATGAAGTTGCTGCATTTTAAGCCTTAGACACGTTGAGATTAGATCACAGTATTCATTTATCTATGACTTTCTCGCAGCACTGACTGGAAGCATCAGCGGCCATGAAAAAAAGGGACATTTTGTCCTTTTTTACCGCTGTTAGTAAAGAACAGCGTAGACAGAGAGAGGATGAAAGTCAGGAGGGAGCTGAGAAGCAGGATGAAAGAGAGAAGGAGGAGATGGTTGGAGAGGAACCAGAGAGGTCAGAGGCTGTCCACCCTGAGAGTGAGGAGGAGGAAGATGTAGGCTGTGAGTGAGGAGCAAAAAAGGGGACATCTTCGGTCATGTGCACTACCGTCAGGTTTGTGGGTGTTGAACAACCCCTCTGTGTTTGCAGCTCATATTGTGTGTAAAATGCATTTGAGGCATGCTGACTCTGGACCAAAATTTCTGTTGTTTATATTTAATAAATAGATAAAATAAGACTCTGAATTAACTAATTATGACTTTTATCCTCATGCTAACATTTATTTTCTTTCAGATATCAGCAAGTGCAAGGATGACCCACCTACTCAGCCTCATTTGAGGACATTTCCAGGGACATTAATAGGAGACAGAAGACGCAGCTTTCACCCTAGCTGGTATGAAAGTCATCCCTGGGTCGAATATTCGGTTTCAATGGACTCTGCTTATTGTCATGCATGCAGACATTTTAGCCCACCAAGTAGCGCAGGAAGTGTGTTTGACTCTCAGTGTGGATTTAGGAACTGGAAAAAAGCAACTGAGAGAGGAGGGGGGTTTTCAGTACATGCAAAGTCTGAAAGGCATAAGGACTCAATGATAGCGTGGAGGGACTACCAGAGGGCTGTGAAAGCTAATACAACATTGGCTAATATACTCGACAAGGAACACAGTAAAAAGGTTAAAGAAAATCGTGAGTATATCAGAACAATTGGTGAAGTGATTTTGCAAACAGCCCGGCAAAACATAGCACAGAGAGGACACAATGAGTCTGAGGAATCAAATAACAAAGGCAACTTCAGGGAAATTCTTGAAATGGTTGCAAATCATGATCCAGCTGTTAAACGTAGACTCACATGATCACATCCATTCACAACGCAAAATACACAAGCAATGTCATTCAAAATGAGGTTCTTGATTGTTTGGCAGAAATGGTACGCTCTGAAATCATTGAAGAAGTGAAAAGCAGTCAGTATTTCAGCATTATGGCAGGCAGATGAGACTAAAGATGTTTCAAAACAGGAGCAGATATCATTCATACTCAGGTACTATTATGATGGAGCTATCAAGGAAAGTTTTCTCCATTTTGAATCTGCAGAAAGACTAGATGCAGTGGGCCTTACTGAAAAGATAGTCAACCTATTGGAACACCATGGGTTAGACTACAAAAACAACCTTATAGGCCAAGCATATGACGGTGCTGCTGTAATGAGTGGTAAGCATTCTGGGGTCCAGGCTAAAATTAAAGAGACAGCTCCATTTGCATTTTACAACCATTGCAGTGCCCACTGTCTCATTTTAGTATTAGTTGATTTTATCAAAGCAGTCCCAGAAGCAGCGGAATTTTTTGCTCTGTTACAGAGTCTCTATGTTTTTACTTCTGGCTCATATGTACACCCCAAATGGCTGGCTGTGCAAAATGAGATGTATGGCAGCACAAGAGAGCTACAAAAATTAAGTGACACAAGATGGGCTTGCCGATTCATTGCTCTACGCTACATAATGGACAGATTACCTGCCCTAAAACGTGTCCTGCAAGAGACTGCACAAGAGCGCAGGGGAGAAAAATCTTCTGAGGCTCGAGGTCTTCTGGCACAGATTGACCTAGAATTTGTTGTGCATCTTGTTACGCTCCGTACATTGTTCGGAGAAACAGAGCTTCTTTCAGATATGCTGCAGTCCTCAACTGTTGACCTCTCAAAAGCAGCCGATTTAGTTGAAGGATTGGTGCAGACATTAACAGATTTCAGGCAGGAGTCCTTTTTTGACAAGTTGTGGGGGGAAGTACTGAACATTTGTGAACAGTGTGATGCTGCCACACAGTCGGAAGCAAAACGACAGATAAAGACAAGCTCCAGACTTCGTGAGTACCACATACTAAGCTCAATTGGTCAGAGGGAGCTGGCCTCTGACAAAGAAACTTATCGGTTTTCTTTTTTTTATCCTGTCATTGACTGCATGCTAAGTGAACTGAGCAGACGTTTTTCAAAGACCAGTTGTGAGCTGATGAGCAGTATTCGATCTCTTAACCCTAAAAGTGATGCTTTTTTGAAAGACACCACTTTGTTTGAGTTTGGTCATCTTTTTGATGCTAATATTGAGGATCTGGGGCATGAACTGCATCAGTTCAAGAGACTTTTGGATAGAAAAATAAAGACTGGTGTGGTTGAAAAGCTTTCTGATACAGTGGAGTTGATCCGTTTCACAGAGCCATACAAGGAGGTATTTTACGAGTTCTTTAGACTGTGCAAAATCGCAGTTGCACTCCCAGTAAGTTCTGCCTCTTGTGAGCGGAGTTTTTCAACATTAAAGTTAGTAAAAACCTACCTCCGGTCTACCACTACAGATGAGTGCCTTAGCAATCTAGGGGTGCTAAGCATTGAATCCAGAAGGGCCAAGGCTCTGAACCTTGAAGCATTTGTAGACCGTTTTGCAAGACAGCACAAACGTAGAATACTGTTATTGTAATGGGACAGATTACTGTGTCACATCTTGATGATGATTTATGCTGTAAAACTAAATCAGCACAAACTTACACAAAAGAAGTGTGTGTGTGTGTGTGTGTGTGTGTGTGTGTGTGTGTGTGTGTGTGTGTGTGTGTGTGTGTGTGTGTGTGTGTGTGTGTGTGAGTGAGTGAGTGAATGTTTATTTTTCATATGTACAGTTCATGTGCAGATATTTTACTTGTTTGAATGTTTATTTTTCATATGTACAGTTCATATAATCTTCTAATAAAGTCACAAACTATAATAATTGACTAGAATTGTTTTTTTTACTCAAGTCTCATGTTACTGTGAAGCATTCAGAATTGTTATCTGAGTACCATAAAAACATGCCAGTTTTACTTTCACAAGTAAACCATTACTGCATTTGCCGTAATAGTTTACTTGTTCATTATCTATTATTATGATTTTTTTTTCTTGTGCCCCCATGAAAAAATACTGGCCCCACTGTGGCCCCCCTGGAAAATTTGGTCTAGAACCGCCCCTGCTTCAAACACTTCAAAAACCATGGTCAGAATAGCATTAAACTTGGTCTGTCTCATCACACCACCAGTGTGGTAATGATAGAGTATCCCCTAGTGGTGAGATGTGAAATTTAATGGTGGGCTCAGAGGAGATGCTGAGTCAGGGTGAGGTGCAGATGAGGAGACTGTTTGCGGTTTCTGGTGTAGGAGTGGTTAACGTTTCTGTTCCGCGGATGTGCCTGGGTTCCCCGGGCTGCCGGCCAGGCTGGAGCGGCGCGGAGCTGCGAGGGCCGAACGACGCTGCTTGCAGCTTTAATTTATTATTATGTTTACTATAGAAACCCCTTCCTCCCACATAAAACAGAATAATTAATTAGGATGTGGAAAATCCTTAATAACTACCTAGTCTCACATTTTAAAGATTGTGTATTACAATTATTAGCTTGCATGTAATTTTATTGACAATAAAAGTAACAATTATATTGTTATGACCTTATTTTACTTTAACTCCTAACTATGACTTTTTTCACAATAATCATTTGAAAGAAATCAATCTGAAGTATTGTCTCATTAATGTGCTTTTTTAATTAATCAACAATAGTGCAGTTATTACACTCAACAAAAATGTAAACGCAACACCTTTGTTTCTGCTCCGATTTTTCATGAGAATGACTTAAAGATCTAAAATTCATTCCAGATACACAATATTACCATTTTTCTCAAACATTGTTCACAAATCAGTCTAAATGTGTGATAGTGAGCACTTCTGCTTTGCTGAGATAATCCATCCCACCTCACAGGTGTGCCACATCAAGATACTGATCTGACATCATGAGTGGTGCACAGGTGTACCTTATACTGCCCACAATAAAAGGCCAGCCTGCAATGTGCAGTTTTGTCTCACAGCAAAAGGCCACAGAGGCCGCAGGCATTGAGGGAGCGTGCAATTGGCATGCTGACAGCAGGAATGTCAACCAGATCTGTTGCTCGTGCATTGAATGTTCATTTCTCCACCATAAGCCGTCTCCAAAGGCGTTTCAGAGAATATGGCAGTACATCCAACTGGCCTCACAACCGCAGACGGCGTGTAACCACACCAGCCCAGGACCGACACATCCAGCAGGTTCTCCTCCAAGATCGTCTGAGACCAGCCACTCAGACAGTTGCTGAAACAATTGGTTTGCATAACCAAACAATTTCTGCACAAACTGTCAGAAGCCATCTCAGGGAAGCTCAACTTCATGCTCGTCGTCCTCATCGGGGTCTTGACCTGACTCCAGTTCGTCGCCGTAACAGACTTGAGTGAGCAAATGCTCACATTTGATGGCATCTGGCACATTGGAGAGGTGTTCTCTTCACGGATGAATCTCGGTTTGCATTGTTCAGGGAAGATGGCAGACAGCGTATGTGGCATCGTGTGGGTGAGCACGATGCTGATGTCAATGTTGTGGATCGAGTGGCCCATGGTGGTGGTGGGGATATGGAATGGGCGGGCATCTGTTATGGATGAATAACACAGGTGCATTTTATTGATGGCATTTTGAATGCACAGATACCGTGATGAGATCCTGAGGCCCATTGTTGTGCCGTACATCCATGAACATCACCTCATGTTTCAACAAGATAATGCACGGCCCCATGTTGCAAGGATCTGCACACAATTCTTGGAAGCTGAAAATGTCCCAGTTCTTGCATGGTCAGCATACTCACGGGACAAGTCACCCGTTGAGCATGTTTGGGATGTGCTTGACCGGTGTATACGACAGCGTGTACCAGTTCCCACTAATATCCAACAACTTCGCACAGCCATTGAAGAGGAGTTAACCAACATCCCACGGGCCACAATTGACAATCTGATCAACTCTATGCGAAGATTTGTTGCACTGCATGAGGCAAATGGTGGTCACACCAGATACTGACCGGTTCTGAGTCCCCAGACCCCCAATAAAGCAAAAAACTCCACATTCCAGGGTGCAGGGGTTCCAGGGTGGCCTTTTATTGTGGGCAGTATCAGGTACACCTGTGCACTACTCATGATGTCGGATCAGCATCTTGATGTGGCACACCTGTGAGGTGGGATGGATTATCTCAGCAAAGCAGAATTGCTCATTATCACACATTTAGACTGATTTGTGAACAATATTTGAGAGAAATGGTAATATTGTGTATCTGGAATGGATTTTAGATCTTTAAGTCTATCTCATGAAAAATCGGAGCAGAAACAAAGGTGTTGCGTTTACATTTTTGTTGAGTGTATGTTTATCTTTAATGTCTTTGTAAATTATAATGTTTTACCTCATATTCATGACTTTTTAAAATGTTGTGAGTGTGACTTTGGAAGTAATAATTATGTGGTTTGGGTCTCTAACAATGGCTTTTCTTTTATAACTATTTATCCCTTAATCTTAACTTAAATAATACTAAATGTGTATTTTTTTATCTATAAATATCACTGAGATGGCTATAAAACCCATAATTATGACATTCAGACTCAAAAATATGTGTTTTTATATTTTAAATGGCAGAAACGGGCTTCCCAGTTGTAGAGTATCTATGCTATGCTACTATTTCTCTTTTGCTCCTCTGGCCGCCTATGCCCTCCCCAAACTGATTACAACTCACGTTGGGAGTGGTTACACTTAAATGATCAATAAGATGTGATATTCCATATGAATATGAATTATCAGTCTGATTAGTCTTTGAATATTTGATTTAATATTACCTTTAGGTTCTTTGGTCTATTTAGGAAACACACACTTCATATTAATTCAGACAGAGTCAAGCATATAGTTTATAAAAATGAATGTGATTCTATTGATGTGATTCTAATGATGACAGAAGAAATTATGATGAATGATGGTTGGACAAGATAACAGACAATGGATGAAATGATGGAATGCAAGCTTAGACGTTTTGTAGCAACACCTTATTAAGTATCTGTGAGATCTTGTGATGTGTGACTGTATGGTTTAACAAGCTATCAGTTATTCATGAAAAACCATCCAACACCAGTGTGCAGGTCTTCGATACTTGTGTGTGACGGGTTAAATTCAACTCCTCTAGAGTTGAAATGACACTGGATTTTTTTAGGCTCCCTCAAATGTTGCTGTTGCTTTTTGGGAAAGCAGAACATCCATGAACTTCAGCTCATTCATATTGAACTGGTGATCTGTGCTCAGAGTCGGACCACTGGTCTCCCTGGTCAAGGGCATTAACGTCAACGATGGGCCCTTCCACCTTTGTTGTCATGCCCACCTCCAAGAGCTGCTAGATTTGTCCCTAACCCTAACCCTTAACAACCTTAAGCAAAGGACCATTTGTGTCATCAACGCAATATTCAGTATGCCTTTAACATTGTGTAATACTAGATGTACCTAGTATGTCTGTGTCCCTTATGCTGCATAGTTCTGGAAACTCAAGTGTCCTTTTTTATTCAATGTTTTTAGCGGTTGAAGGTTACAATAATAGCATATTGCCTTTGAGTGTTTACCTGTAATCTAGTTATTTATTTTCTTCCTTTTCTCTAAGTGTTGGTGCTGCTGTAGCAAGTGCATTTCCCTACTGTGGATTAATAAAGTCTGTTCTATTCTATGTCAGAGGGGCTGAGTTACAGGTGTTCCTCTTGAATCTTTACCTGTTTCTGTGTTTCAACATCCTCCTCTCTGAATGTGTAACACCCACTCTGAGAACACTTGGCTCAGTGTGGCAGGTTTCCTACCGTAGCAATTAAACAGATTAATGACCAATAAGATGTGACTATTCCATATAAATATGAAATATCAACCTGATTGATCTTTGGATGTTTAATCAGAAGATTCTAGGGTTCTTTGCTTATTCAGGGACCATAAACACACTTCGTATTAATTCAGACAGATTCAAGTATATAGTTTATAAAATGAATTTAATTATTTTACCTAAACAATTATACACGACAAGATATGAGTAATGAGATGAGATGTGGTGGATGGGAGGTTTTGTGATGGAAGCTAGAGGTTGTAGCAACTGTTCTTTGTATCTGAGAGAAATTGTGAAATTTGGGTGTAAAAGTATTTGTTGTTTGTTGTAATGAACTGAACTAGAGGACCCGTGATGACACCAAACACAGTAAGATGTTATAAACGTCTTTATTAGCCTGAAGCTAATAGGAGTTACCGGAGTAAACTCAGGTACGGGCAGAGTCAAAGGCAGGCGTGGGATCGAAGCCAGGTTGAGACGAAACAGGTACAAGGAGCAGGCTAGAGATGCGGTCGAAGACAGGCGAGGGTCGTGGTGGCAGGCAGAGTCCTTGGCAAGGGTTAGGTGTGGAACCGAGGTCAGGAGGCTATGATCAGGCAGGATGTATAAAGGCTGGAAGATTTACCAGCAGAAGCGTTCAGTAATCTGGCAGAGTGCTGGTGGTTGACTGTGGAATATATGGCTGGTGAGGCAGGTGTGTGGCATGAGCTTGATGGTGAGTTGGCTGTGGTTGCTGGGGAAACAGGGCTTGGCTGGACCTTGATGAGGGGAGGTGTGATGCATGAAGGCTGATGAGGGGAATGATGGTGCATGGAGGTCAGGGCATGGCAGGATCATGACAGTTTGTTATAAACTAGAGTTGTTTATTTATAAAACCTCATCAGACACCACTACGCATGCTTACGATACCCTTGTACAAGTTGCTCCCGGCGGTCTGGAGGTTTGTGGTCAGAGTGATGAGGTCACCGGACGTCAAAACCACAATACTCAGAGATTAGTAGCTTCCTCTGAGTTCAGCTTCCCCGGCCATGAAATGCAGCCCGGAGTCTGCAGGTTAGGTGTCCAAGGTGGATGTCTGAGAGTTGAAGTAGCTCTGAAAAGAGCTGTTGTGTCTGTAATCACTTGCAGCGTCACAGAAAGCAGTAACGGTTTTAGGTACGGGCAGACAGGGCAGTTGCCCGGGGCGGCATTTTTTCATGCCTCAAAAGGGGCGCACAAGCGCTGACTAAAAAATAAAAAAGAAAGAAATCTGCGCCGCACCAAGGTTTTTTATTATCTGTCATATGACAGTGTCTGGATTGGAAACAGCAAGTTGGCGCCCCCTGCAGCTGCAGGTGCTCCTGCTGACTGAGAGGGTTCACGTGCACCGTGTGTGTATGAAGAAGAGCAAGGGGAGGGGTGCGGCGGGGGAATTCACCTCTGGGTCTTTCCCAAATGAAATGAGCGGGTAGGGGCTGAATCAACTGTATTAACATGGCTTAAGTCAATCACATCTTGGTGTTCTTCCATTTAATGCACATTTCATTCATAATATCATAAACACAGGCCTATCATTCTCTCAGGTTTTTCTGAATTGTGTGAAATGGCCGAATAAAAAAAAGAAAAACAACGATTTTGTGGTCCCCCCCGCCCCACACACACACACACACACACACATCAAGGTCAAATTGTTTAGTCCTGACTAAAGGAAACTTATTGAGTTAAGAGCCAAACAGAAGAGATGCACATAAATAGGCTAAAACCACCAGGTGCCCGATTCAGGAAAAAAAAAGAAAAAAAGAGGAGAAAGATAAAGGTATGTAAGCTCTCATGATGCATGTTTTACATTTTTTGAACCAGTTAACTGGGATTTTAACGGTTAAATTCGGTCAACTAATTGCTAACAGAGCTAATAGGGCTGAAATATTGAAAAGAATATTCAAATTGTTCGAAAACATTCCTTGAATCGTTTTTTACTGATTCAAACTAGGATTTGTTAAATGCTCGCTGCAGCATGTGGCCTGCCTGAACAACAACAAACACATGTTGATCAAGTTCACATAATAATAAATAAAACAACTCTACAAGCAGTAGAAAACTCCCCAGTCACCACTAACTATCCTGTTTATTTATTGCAGATGGCTGCACTGATTATTTTTTACATGATTTGTTCTGTAAAAGTTGGCATTTTTGTTAGTCTACAGTTTTTTTATGTCAGTTTAAATT